TGGGGTAGGGCTTATTACGCATTCTCACCCTCCTGTCTCTTTCCCTTTTTCTTTTTACCAGTAGTGTTTTTTGTCCTCGCTTGTGATTGTTTGCTTTATTTTATTGGAAGGTGTTTTGGATTTGTAAGGCTATAAGGAGGATCTCTATGAAGATGCTGAATTCTGGATCTCTTGCGTCAAGCCGGATCAAGAACACGAGTCAAACATCCGTTCCCACCCAGCGGCATCAACTAGGAAGCACGCTAAGACTGAACACGTCAATTCTATCATTAAATATAGAAGAGAACTCAAAAACCGAGATCTCCATGGCATTTGTCGATGGTATACACGAGCAAATTCAAAAACCGAGATCTCCATGGTATTTATCAATGGTTGCAATTGATCCGATCTTCAACGGGCTACTTTGAGACATGCAGATCGACTTAACTCTAGTCATTTCGATGAAATTGTCACCAATTGAGAGTACAAATAGAGTACATCTTATATGCCTTCGTGGGGGTAATTGCAGCTCGATCATGGATAGTGCGAATCTATCTTGTGGCGGTAGCCAATTTTTCAGCTCTTGATCCTCGGATATCTATACAAGATCAAGAAAACCCTCCTCGCATTCATTCGAGAAATTAATTTACATAGAGAACATTATTTACATAACTCTCCAGGAAATTTAATTGGGGAAGCTTTGAGAACAACCCTCACAACACATTCTAGGAGTTTCAATAAGGTCCATTTTACATGGACCAACGCGAACATTGGATCACATGGACCAAAACTTCGATGCCGCTCTTTGTGGGCCTCAAGAGTTGGGACTGACTCGGACTGATACCGCTCAGGCCCCGATTAAATCAATTTGCCGAACATGTTCAGATCGCCAATCGGTTCGGATTGAATCAGTTTCTTGTCGGATTGCACCAGCTGGTTCGAGAATCGCCCATTCTCCGGTTGCTTGTGGATTTTGATTGGAGAAGCTGGTACCTTTGTGTTGCTGGGAGGATTTTCAGTTACCATTTGGTTAGTCTGAAGCTAAGTGCAAGAAAGCTCTTCATTGCTTATACTTTGATTGAAGTCATGGCATCTTTGGTTCTATCTTTGCTAATTGTTTTTTTTTTTTGGGTAAGGCTATCTTTGCTAATTGTTAACGCCCCTATAATGATACAATGTTTCTTTTTATGTTAGTGCTCTGCTTAATTGTCGATATGGAGTTTGCTTGGTTCTCTAAAAGGGTTTTTCTATATTTTTGGTTTTTTGCTGGTGATTTTTTTCTTACCTTTTGACAAATTGTGCATCAATATGCTTTCCATTATCAGCTCCTCTGATGCAGTCAAAGTATTGACTGTCTATTGCTTTTCATTTTAATTCACTGCAGCAAGGATGAAGAGTGTGAGGGATTGGGTTTTTTCGCAGTTGTTGACCAATTCATTGTCCTCATCAAGGCCATTGTCTGTTAGAAACAGCTTTATCAACGAGGCAACAAATGAGGGGCTTCATGAACAAGGTATTGAACTGTCAATTTATCGACCTGGGCATGGAAATTGGTACTTAAATAACTGTTGGGACTGGCCAAAAGGAAAGAAGAAAGATAGTCCAGCTCTCTTTTAATGTTTGCACATAGCAACACCGAGTAGATTATACTTGAATTCATTTTCATAGCTTGTTTGATTATATTAATTGGAACATATGTTCCTTATTCTCTGAATAATATGCTCAAAAGCGGATTATTATGTCAAGCACTGGGCATTGAAGAGAGTCTAAAACTGATTTTTGCATTTTCACTTTAGTGCAGTGCTTGTTGTCCATCTTCTTTTCTGCCCTTAGTTTGAATTGTAGATTTAGATATCGAACTTAACATGGCCCGCCCAAAGAGTTTCTGAATTTTTCGTCATGGAGTGTTCTATCGTGGTATAAAAGTGGATGGAGACGAAATACCAAAAGGGAGGGAAAAACATGTATTATGTGATATATAGAGTTTGTGCAATTCCGAAAGTAAATGCTATAAAGTAAGAGGACTAGTGATGTGCACTTGACATGATATACTCATTGTAGGAAGGAAGGACTGCAAGATTAGTACGGCTTTCTTCGATACTAAGTGGGGTAGACTGAAGCATAAGATTGTGTTAAGTATTGTGGCATCTTTTGAATGTATATAACAGAATCTATACTTGCCCATGTCTTGTTTTGAGTGTAGATGACTCTCTCCCAGTTGATATTCCTGAGTCGCGGTCTTCGACAGGTTAGATATTTGTTTGTTTTTGTAGTAGACTACTTTACTATCTCCATTCCCAGTTTCCACTGTGATATGGAACTCATAATCAAGTACTGGAAGTCAATATGCGCACCTTACGGGTTACCTTCTTTCTGCGCATTTTCATGTCAAGCATCCGTGAGGGTTACGGTAGGATTAGATCCAGCATGTTGACCACAGCATCATAAAAATAGCAGGCTGCTAGCAAGCCCTTTCTTGTGAAGAGATAGCATGGCCAAACTTGACTTTTTTGCTTCATGAAAGGGGAAATCAAGACTCATCTTGCTTTTTATGCTTTCTCAGCCCCTGCAGATTCTCAGGAAGAGTGTCTCAAGCTTCAATTAATCAATCAGCTTCCTCTAATGGAACACTAGAGAGTCAGCATTATCCCTCTCAACATCAAGGTCTGGTCGAAAATTGTTCCCAATCTCACTCTAGCTCTGATAGAGGAAATTCGAATCCTGTGTCTAAGATCGACAATCTTCATATCAAGTTTTTGCGGATTCTCCAAAGGCTTGGGCATCAACAGGACAACCTTTTGGCGGCAAAGTTCTTGTATCGGGCTTGACTAGCAACCTTGATTCAATCCGGGGAAGCAGATCCGAAAGTGTTGAAGCGTATGCATGGTAAGGCAAGAGCACAAGCAGCACAGATAGAGGCTGCTGGTGTGCCTGAATTAGATTTTTCGTTTAAGGTAGTGCAACAATAAACTCAATTTTTTATCAGACAAAGGCAGTCACTAATGCATTTCAACCAGCCACGGATTCCATCAGAGAGGTTACTGGCACTGTCAGTGGGATGAAAATAACTTTTGTTGATACTCCTGGTCTTTTTCCTTCTACTGTGAACATGAGAAGAAACGGGAAGATTTTGCTCTCTGTGAAGAAGTATATCAGAAAGTCACCACCAGATATTGTTTTGTTCTTTCAACGCCTCGATCTTATCAACATAAATTACAGTGACTTCCCTCTTCTGAAGCTTCTTAGCGAAGTTTTTGGCAATGCAATTTGGTTCAGACACAATCCTTGTTATCACATCCTTCCTGTTCCCTCCCAGGAGAACCAAATGATTATCCGACCAAGGATTAAACAGTCAGATTCTAAGACCAAATAAAGGGTGCATTTGTTTCACGAAAAATGAGTGATTTGAAAAATATTTTTCGAAAAAATGATTGCTTATATTATTTAGAAAAATTAGTCAACGGAAAATGTTTTCATAATCGATAACAATCTATACCTTGCTATTTTCGTGAGCGATGAAAAAAATTTCCATTCATTTATTTTTGTAAGCGATACAAGCAATTATATTTTCCAAATCACTCATTTTCCACTAAACGAATGCACCCAAAAAGAGATATTAATTGTCGATTAATAAGCATATAACAAGTTACTTACATGGCAAACGTTATGAAAAAATTATATACGACTCCATGTGTTCTTACTTCGCCAATTTGCCAAAGTAAGAAAATAATAATACTTCGCTTTCGCATTTTGAGCTCGGCATTAAGAAATTAGTAGCCTTTTATGTCTTATATTGGGGGATTCATCTACTAATTTTGAAGTTTTGAATCCTCATTTTTTATTTTTTATTTTGGAATGGGCTCATATGTTAATAGTTTCTTAGTGGATCTAATGGGATTGGGCGGGCTTAACCAAAAAATAGACCCCGGTCCGGCCTTAGCAAGCCGAGCCCGACATCTAACCTTAAAATCATCACATCTATATCTACCTAATAACGTAATAACAATCTCAAAAAATTGACCATTTTATCATTTACCGTCTTTAAGGCAACGGGTATTCATACTTATCCTACATCGGCGCATCATGTGATATAAAAACATTTTCAAACATGAGGTTAGTAATTCAACATGGATAGAATTTCTCGGATAATTGAATACGGAAGTAGGTTAAAATCCTCGCGATATTCGCTCAATGAGTTACTGTGTTAAAGTTGACTACTCATTTTCCAAATTTAATCACTTGACCCTTTCTTTCGCCATTATCCATCGTCCATTGACACACTCCCTGTCCCAGACCCCATCCGTATCCGGAAAATTTGTTAGTTTATGTTACCGAAAATTATAAGATTCATCATATATGCTTAATTCTTCATTTTTTCTCGTGATTCTATTTTTATTCACGAGATTCTTTATAAATGTTTTGTTTCGTTTCTTTCTTTCGGATTAATAGTAAAGAATTTTTTTTTATATAAATTCAACGTGTGAGCTTAACATCCAATGCTACATTCCTGAATAATCTCAATTTCTTCAATTATTCAATCATCGTTTGCCAGATTAATCAAAGTTCTCTTTCCGATTAAAAAAATAAAAATCAAAGTTCTGAGGATGTAGATACATCTGATTCCCGATTCGTCAAGGCATTGCAAGCAATTTATTTAAGGTAGATCAACCATGATTGCAATTTTCCCTCCTCCTGAAGATTAAGAATTTTCCATGCCTAGGCGCTGCGTTTCAAGCATTTGCATAACATCAGCCGATTGTTATCCGACATTCTTCCTTCCCAACCATCCTACAACTCCTGCAGCAACTGCTAAGGCCGAAACGACCTGACTTCTTTCGTTGTTATTGAACGTAGATGTTTTAACAGCCTTTCGATTTCAAAGTTAAAATCCATATATTGTGGAATGGGTCAAATGGCTCGCCACGGCAAATAGAACTTGATTTGCCGCTTCAATTAAGTTCTGTGTGTTTACCTGATCGTGAAATCGTTACCATTTAGTTATCGAGTAAAGAAGGATCATGCTTAAAGATGGACAACCAATGGATTTATCTGTACTTTATCCTGGAACCGGAGTATCTCATATGGTCAGTCATATGCACACGTGTACAAAATTATTTCAATGCATGTGGAATGTCGGTGAGAACCAGTCCGACAAGTTAGCTAAGACGAATCCCAGGAATACCTGCAAGTAAGAAGCCACGAACAAATTAGTCGAGAAAAACAATGCTCGAAGTTTGTTGAGCCTGTGATTTTCTGTATCGTACCTGGACCGAGCCAAGAATGTAAATGAGTGAAAACCGCCGACCGTGTATTAGGATGTCTTCCAACATGGCGACGGGTATCTCGAGGGAGACACCTAGTGATGCCACCAGAGGACTGGTCCAAACAACACTAACCGCCCTATTAATAATCGACAGGTCTTATTAATCAGATTCAAGAAGATAGGAATCGTCATTCATCAAGGTTTAGCCTCTAAACTAACCAAAAATAATTAGCGAGGAAATTTCCGACGAAGCAGTTGGCAAGAACAACTCCCCCCACGGCCGCAGACTGAGGAAAGCCAAATTTGGGCTCTATGTCTAAAGCAATGAGAGGCCAAACTGAAAATATCCAAGCATAAAAATTAGTTAAGACACCATTGTTGAAGAACAGAAAGTACTCGGTTTTATTGCCACCGATTTTATACAAGATTTTGAAAATCGTTAAATGCATCAGCACACCATCATGCGAAGAAACTTGTGCTCATGAGGAAGCTGAAATTAGAGAATTGCTCTTACCAAGCCACCAAAATGAGAGAAGCGAGATTAGTCCAATACAACCAAATAACTTTTGCATGTCCACCCTTTCTCCTTCCTCTCCAGCGCACTTCTTGAGAAGCACTGAAAATTTTTCACATGATTATCGTTAGCTGCTACGTTTCTGATGAAAATTCCAACTGAAAGAGAAAATTTATTTTGAAGAAAAAGAGAATGCTAACCAGCAAATAGTCCATCAGTTGCAGCCGCGAGAATCGCGAGAAGATTCCCTAGAAGAGGGTAGGTTCTGTTGTTGAAGGGAACAGATTGAACACAAAAGAAGAAGACATTATTAGTTGCTGGTCAGTTGCTTCAACCAATACGCCTAACAAAGTACAAATTAAGAGTAAAATGAAAGCAGAACCCGAGAAAGAACAATTTATGCACACGATAATAGGCAAGGACTACACATATTTATTTCGTTATTACATCACCTTGATTTAAGTTCCAGAAGAACTATCTCACAAGAATGTTCAATCTCTAATAGGAAACTAGTAGAATGAAATAAAAATTACGAAGTTGAATGGATTTGGAAAACAAAGACTACATACACAGTTGCGTTCGAATGTGATTGATCGGTACTTGAAGTCTTCCCTAGTGCAGTCATGGCGACTCCGGCTATACTGATAAAGACTGAGATTACTTTTACTACACTTATGGAGTCCTGTCCTAGAATTGCACCAATCAGAAGGGTGAAAAGTCCTGATGTCGATAACAATATCGTGCAGCTGGCAACGCTTGTTCGTGCGAGTGCGGCATTCACGAGATACTGCAAATAATAATAACGCCCTTCAACACTATACTATATCTAAAGAAAGGGCAATTTCCTCTCGGTATTCACCAATATTGCTCATTAAGACTGTCATGGTTTTTAGATGATGCAGATCATAAAAAGATCATAGTAAGACCAGACATTGCAATCAATTGATTCCAGTAGAGGATAATAGATGAGTGCCAATTTTATGTGAAATATGCTGAGAAAAGACATGATTTTGTATTGGTAAATTAGTACTTCTCTTGTAAGACCCACAATGATACTTATACCAACTTGAGAAGCTGTGAAAATCACATGCTCTGTATCAGTAGATAAATGATCAAACACTTTAAAGTAAAGTCTCAGTAAAGAATGTAATTTATTCAAACAAAATGGTCTCTCACCTCACACACGAACCACATAGGTGCAAGAGTGCAGGCAACTTTGAGAAATTGCTTGCTGCTCATCTTCTCCTCTTGTTCCACTATGTCATCATCTTTTGCTTCTGAAAAAGAGGCCTGTCCCTCTTCAAGTAAATGAACTTCATCGCCGGTTGAATCCACCGCACTCAACTTTTCTTGATTTACCATTTCAATATTACTCTGCTTCCCATTATTTTTGCCAGGAGAATCTGGACCTGCACAGCTTGCATCGACTGTCTCCACACTATCGCCACTTTCCCTAGTGCGGGATTTTAGGAATTTCAGTAACCAGTCCTTCAAGAATGCTATGGGAAGATGGAACGCCAAGAGCGAAGTCCCAAGATAGGTCAGTGTGAATGGCTGCTCATACTTGTCGAAAACACCCTGTTACACAAGTTGATATGTTAAGCTGGTAAAAGTTATTGCGACAGAGGAACTGATGTTCTTCGGATTCAAAAAATTTTCTCAGCAGGGAAAGAAAATTAAATCACTACCTAATAGGATCATCAAGAATGAATTTTGCACAAACACAGAGAGAGAGACTAACCTGAGTGACTTCTGCAGAAGTGACCCACATGATCACAAAAGTGATAATGAGAAGCAACCCACCTTTGTATCTCCAACTCATTTTGCCTATTTTGACAGAAGTTAGTTTACAAGCAAAGAAGAACAAAGAAGACAGAACTTGCGAAAAAAAATGAAACGTTTAAGAGCGGAGAGCGAGAGAGAGAGAGTGAAGCGCTGGTGTGTGTTGATGTGAACGGAGCTTCGTTCCCCTTTGTGATTGTGTGTGTTGGTGTGTGTTGATGTAAACGGAAGCAATCTTTTTGTTCCTTATTCTCTTTCTTTTTAAGCTAATAATCTTAATCCTCTTTTCTCCATTTATGAATTGGCCATTCTCTTGCTTGCTCCCCAAATTAACCAAGACTCAAATTTATTGTGCCTGTCATTAGGGTCACGAAAACTTTGTGTGAGGAACAAACTTCTATAATTACAACAAAAAAAGGATCATGTTGGAAATATCTGGGGTAAGGCTTATTACACGTTCTCACTCTCCTGTCTGTTTCCCTTTTTCTTTTTACTGGTAGTGTTTCTTGTCCTGGCTTGTGATTTTTTGCTTTTTTTTATTGGAAGGGATTTTGGATTTGTAAGGCTATAAGGAGGCTCTCCATGAAGATGCTGAATTCTGGATCTCTTGCATCGAGCCGAATCAAGATCACAAGTCTAACATCCGTTCCCACCGAACCGCATCAAGCCAGATTAACCACAAATGCTTTTGAATAAACCACAGTAGACAATACTCCTGCCAGCAACTATACCATTTGAACCTAAAGTCTAGATAATTCCAAGATGGACTAGGATGTCATAACTTGAACAATTCAACCGTTTTCATTCCACATACAAAAAGGGATGTTATCTATAAAGCAACTGCCAGCATCTACTGTGATTTTACAGTGCATTAAACACAGTGTAATCAGTGTACATTCCCAAGTAGTTGCATATTATCATGCTCAGGAGCACTTTAGCATATCATGTTACTCCTTCACTCAAATATTTCCACCAGCTGCCACCTTTGCACTTTAAACCAACTGAGGTGAACTTAAAGTCCCTATCGCCTTTGTCTCATCCTTCATCTTTCACAAGCCCATACAGTTTCAAGTTTCTAAAAAATAAACAGTGCTCAGATATCTGTTTCACTGTTCAGAGTTTTCTCAGAGACCACAAACGGCTAATAGTAGAAAACCTGTTACATAGACCACAAACAGCGAATAATGGGGTCAAACTGCTAATTAAAGCGAGGATATCACTATTAAGATCTAAGTTTCCGGGTTAGTCATCTAACTGATGACCACTTATGCACAAGCTGAAATAGATGCATATTAGTAACATCGATCTTCACGAAGCACGGATCGTGTATTGTTCTGGAAAATCACCTTCCTATCAAGAGACGAGCATGGGGAGGAGCGAGGACAGGGATCACGTCCCCTGTTCCTGCCCCGGAGACGGGGCAGCTCGGCTGGGGCTTTGGTGGTGCCCTGCCCCCATTGTGGGCAAAATTACAGCCACAAGTTTCCATTCAGCCATGGAAGCTCCTTTTGCTTCATCTATACCACTTGTTTCATTTCTTGCCTTTTACTTTCACACTATCACGGAGACTCAGAAACCAACCCGGCGAAAAAGCATGGTTCCACAGTCATAATCTCTCAAAACTCAGAGAGACAAATCACACACTCACGTGCCAAGCTTCCAACTCTCCCACAAATTACACACACTCCACAAAAACAGAGAGGACCGGCCAACTCGCCCACGCTAGACATAATAGAGAGAGAACGACGAGATAGCGCACGAGAAAAAGAGAGAGAGAGACACGATCGGGTTGCCGGGTACCTGAGGTCCGGCGACAGACGACAAGCTGCGGTGGTGCTGCGTCGCTCTGCTTGTTGAGAGTTGCACGAAGGTGGCAAAGAATAGTGTCAACGCAAGCACACTCCACAAACTAAGTGGGTCTTCGTTTTTTTTACAATTTTTGGGTCGAAAGCGGCCTTCGAGGTAAGAGCGCGCAGTAGCCAAATTTGTTATGACCGGAAAGCGTACTCGTAAGTTGTAAAGTGAGGAAAAGATAATCCCACAAAAAAATCTCAAATTAGTAGGTACGTGATAAATTTATTTCAAATTAATTCTTTTATCATAAAAAAACTCCAAACTGATACAACTGTGACAGATTTATCTAATTTAATTATCACCAAAAATCCAAAGCTGGTACATTTGTGACAAATTTACCCTCTGTTAAATTGGATTAATATCACGAGAAACCACAAAATGGTACACCTGTGACAAACGGAGGGTAAAACCCCAAACTGGTCCACGCGTCAACTGACACGTGTCATTCAACTCAGAAATTTAACGGTAAAATTTAACGAAAACTAACAGATGGTAAAATTATCACAAATGTACCAGTTTGGATTTTTCGTGATCAAAAAATTAGTTTTGGATAAATTTATTACAAGCATACCAGTTTTGGATTTTTCACGGTATTAACCTTAAAGAAAATGGGCTCGTTTTAAAACCTATTTAAACATGTTTATCATAAGCATTTTAATTACAACCTATATATATTAATTTTAAATTGGTCCATTTATGAACCATTTCCATAATTTTGGGTTAATTATGAGTTTGTGACCTATTTTTTACCACCCTAGTGTTCGCGATCGATCTGAACTTCAACGAGCTACTACTTTGAGACATGTAGATCAACTTAATTCTAGTCATTTTCGACGAAATTGTCGCCGATTGAGAGTACAAACTGAGTATGTCGCAACTCGATCGTGGATCGATCGTGGATAGTGCGAATCTATCTCATGGCGGTAGCCGGCTTTTGACCCTCGATTATCTATAAAAGATGGGATAATAACACAAAAAGTCCTCGAATTTTAATCCAATGTGCAATTTAGTCTATGAACTTTTAATTTGTTCAATGTGGCCCCTAAACTTTTGGTACATGTTTAATGTAGTCCCCTGGGGACTACATTGAACATTTTCATATAGTTCTGGGGCTAAATTGAACATGTACCAAAAGTTCAAAAATGACATTGAACAAATTAAAAGTTCAGAAACCACATTGCATATTAAATCAAAGTCTTGGGGACTATTTGTATCATTTTCCTATGAAAGATCAAGGAAAACCTCCTCGCGCTCATTGTGGGCCTCAAGAGTTGGGCCCGGCCCGACCGGGCCCGCTCTCGAGAGCAACGCGAATCCGTCCAAGACTCAATTTTTCTTCGTCGTTTTCCCCATTTCCTGCCCATTTTCGCTTCTCCCGGAAATCGAATTAGCTGCTGGGACAGCATCATTAGGGCGCAGAATCGAAGAACCTTGGTGGGTTGTTGTGTTCTTTGTCGGCTTTCCCGGTCTTATCTTGATCCTCGAGGGTCGAGTTTCTCCCTCTCGAGTCCTCCGCCGCTCGTTCTTGTTGACGAGTTTCATCGGGTCGGTCAAGCAATTCGCCGAACACGTTGGGATCTCTAATGGGTTCGGATTGAATCGGCTTTCTTGTCGGATTTCACCGGCTGGTTCGAGAAATTCGTCCGCTGCTTGTGGGTTTTGATTGGAGAAGCCGGTACCCTTTTGGGTTGTTGGGAGGAATTTTCAGTTACCATTTTGCTTAGTCTGAAGCTGAGTGCAAGAAAGCTCTTCGTTGCTTGTGCTTTGATTGAATTCATCGTGTCTTTGGTTCTATCTTTGCTAATTGGTAACGCCTCTCTAATCGTGCGGTGTTTCTTTTTATGTTAGTGCGGGTTGCTTGGTTGTGAATATGGAGTTTGCTTGATTTTCGTAAATGGGTTTTTCTATATTTTTCGTTGTTTGCTGGTGATTAGTTTCTTGCCTTTTGACAAATTCTGCATCAATATGCTTTCCATTATCAGCTCCTTGTGTGCAGTCAAATTATTGACTTTTGGTTGCTTTTCATTTTAATTCACTGCAGCAAGGATGAAGACTGTAAGGGATTGGGTTTTTTCGCAGTTGTTGACCAATTCATTGTCCTCATCAAGGCCATTGTCTGGTAGCAACAGCTTTTTCCTCGAGGCACCTAATGAGGGGCTTCATGAACAAGGTATTGAACTGTCAATTTATCGTCCCAGGCATGGAAATCGGTACTTAAACAATTGTTGGGACTGCTCAAAAGGAAAGAAGAAAGATAGTCCAGCTCTCTTGTAATTTTTGCACATAGCAACACACCCATTGGATTATGCTTCAATTTAATTTCATAGCATGTTTGAGTATATTAGTTGGAACATAGGTTCCTCGTTCTCTGAACAATCTGGCAAGAACCAAATTATTATGTCAAGCACTGGTCATTGAGGAGAGTCTAAAAACTGATTTCTTGCATTTTCACTTTAGTGGAGTGGTTAATGTCCATCTTTATTTTCTGCTCTTAGTTTGAATTGTAGATAGATATCGAACTTTACATGACCTACCCAAAGAGATTTTGAATTTTTCATCATGAACTGAGTGAGCTATTGTGGTAACAAAGTGGATTGAGAGGAAAAACCAAAGGGAAGGGAAAAACAGTTCTTATGTGATATAAGGAGCTTGTGCAATTCTAGAAGTAAACGCTATAAAGTAAGATTTTTAGTGATGAGCGCTTGACATGATATAATCATTGTAGGAATGGAGGGACTACAACATTAGTACGGCTTTCTTCAATACTAGGTGGGGTAGATGGAAGCATGTGATCGTGTTTGTATTGTGGCATTATATGATGTGCATATCAGTGTCCGGCCTGCCCATCTCTTGTTCTAAGTGTAGTCCTGATAACACTCTCCCAGAGTTGATATTTTTTAGGGCTTAATTCTCTAACAAACCCCCAATTTTATTGTCTAGTCCCAATTCTGCCCCGAACTTTTCTTTTTCTAAGAAAAAACCCCCAACTTTAGGTCTAGTCCCAAATTTACCCATAACTTTTTTTTTGTCTAAGAGAAAAATCACCAATTTTTACTCTAGTCCCAAATTTGCCCCCCATTAGCCCTCTGTCGCCATTAGTCGTCCCTAATTTTCATATCCTAAACCGGACAGTTTCATTTTGGGGATAATTTTCCATGTCACCTTGTTGACGTGGAAACGCCATATCAAGTTGGGACTAGACCACGAGGGGAGATTTGAGAATATATTGAAAGTCAGTTTAAACAAAATTTGGGGTGGATTTGGGATTGGATTTAAAGTTTGGGGTTTTTCTGAGACAAAAAAAAGTTCGGGATAAATTTGGGACTGGACATAAAGTTTGAGGTTTATTTCCGAGACAAAAAAAAGTTGGGGTTAGAATTGGGACTAGACCTAAAATTGGGAGTTTTTTAGGGAATTAGGCCTATTTCTAAGTGGCGGTCTTTGACAGGTTAGATATTTGTTTGTTTTGGTAGTAGACTACTTTTCCATTTCCAGTTTCCACTGTGATATGGGAACTGATAATAGTACTGGAAGTTAATAAGTACACCTTTTGTTCTTTCATGTGTTACCTTCTTACTGTTCATTTTCATGTCAAGCATCTGTGAGGGTGACAGTATGATTAGATCCAGATTGTTGACCACAGCATCGTTAAACATTTGTTTTTTGAGTAGCAGGCTGCTAGCAAGTGCCTTTCTTGTGAAGAAATAGCATACTGTTGGTTGGACTTGATTTTTTTCTTTATGAAAGGGGAAAACAAGACTTGTCTCACTTTCTATACTTCTCAGCCCCTGCAGATTGTCGGGAAGTGTCACAAGCTTCTATTGATCAATCAGCTTCCATTAATGGAACTCTAGAGAGTCAGCATTATCCCTCTCAACAGCAAGGTCTGGTTGAAAACTGTTCCCAATCTCACTCTAGCTCCGATAGAGGAAAGTCAGATCCTATGTCTAAGATCAATGATCTCCAGATTAAGTTTTTGCGGATTCTCCAACGGCTTGGGCATCCGCAGGACAACCTTTTGGCGGCGAAGGTCTTGTATCGGGTTCAATTAGCGACCTTGATTCAATCAGGGGAAGCAGATCCAAAAGTGTTGAAGCATAGGCATGATAAGGCTAGAGCGCAAGCAGCACAGGAAGAGGCTGCTGGTGTGCCTGAATTAGATTTTTCATTTAAGGTACTTGTCCTGGGAAGGACTGGAGTTGGCAAGAGTGCAACAATAAACTCGATTTTTGATCAGACGAAGGCAGTCACTAATGCATTTCAACCAGCCACGGATTCCATTCGAGAGGTTACTGGAACTGTCAGTGGGATGAAAATAACTTTTGTTGATACTCCTGGTCTTTTTCCTTCTTCTACTGTGAACATGAAAAGAAATAGGAAGATTTTGCTCTCTGTGAAGAAGTATATCAGAAAGTCACCACCAGATGTTGTTTTGCTTTTTGAACGCCTCGATCTTATCAACATGAATTATAGTGACTTCCCTCTACTGAAGCTTCTTAACGAAGTTTTTGGCAATGCAATTTGGTTCAACACAATCCTTGTTTTGACACATGCTTCCTGTTCCCTCCCAGAAGGACCAAATGGTTATCCTGTCGTGTATGAATCATATGTTAGTCAATGCGCCAATTTGATTCAAAGCTACATTCATCTGGTTGTCTCGGATTCAAAAATCGAGAATCCTGTACTGTTAGTAGAGAATCATTCCCAGTGCAGAAAGAATTTCTTGGGAGAAAAAGTGCTTCCAAATGGACAGGTTTGGAAATCTCATTTTTTGCTACTATGCGTATGTATGAAAGTTCTCGGTGATGCTAACAAATTTCTGGAATTTAGAGACAGCATTGCTCTGGGACCACCAAATGCTAAGAGGCAGCCTTCTCTGCCTCACCTTCTTTCCTCCCTTCTGCGACATCGTCCTCCACCTAGTACTGGTGGTGCTGACTACGAGATTGGTGATAACATACTTTCAGACACAGAGGGAGAAGACGAATATGATCAATTACCTCCCATAAAAATTTTATCGAGATCCCAGTTTGAGAAGTTGACCAAATCGCAGAAGAAGGATTATCTTGATGAGTTGGACTATAGAGAGACGCTCTATATGAAGAAACAGTTGAGAGAAGAGTTGCGGCACCAGAGAGAGGTCAGAGAGGATAAGCATTTGCAAAAGGAGAGTTCAGACTGCAGCGACAGTTCTGACAACCAGGAAACACCTTCCGAGCCTTTTTTGTTACCAGATATGGCCGTACCTCCGAGTTTCGACTCAGACTGCCCACTACATAGGTATCGTGGCCTTGTCACTGGGGAACAGCTCCTTGTCAGACCTGTTTTAGACACCCATGGTTGGGACCACGATGTAGGTTTCGACGGAATTAATCTGGAGACGTCAATTGAAACTAAAAGCAATGTATTTGCCTTAGTCACGGGGCAGATGAGCAAGGAAAAGAATGATTTCAGTATCCACTCCGAGTGTTCTGCGGTGTACAAGGCCACTAGTGGACCTTCTTACTCTTTAGGTCTAGATGTTCAATCTGCTGGGAAAGATCTGATATATACCGTGCACAGCAATACAAAGCTGAGTAAGCTGAAGCATAACATTACTGAATGTGGAGTCTCTTTGACACGTTTTGGGGACAAGTGCTATACCGGTGCCAAGATTGAAGACACTATGCACATTGGCCGGAGAGTCAAACTTGTAGTGAATGCTGGTCGATTAGGGGGTGCCGAACAAGTAGCATATGGCGGCAGCTTTGAAGCTACAGTTAGAGGGAGGGACTACCCCGTGAGGACAGATAGCATAAGTCTGTCAATGACGGTCCTTTCTTTTGACAAGGAGATGGTGTTGAGTGGTGGTTTGCAGTCTGAGTTCCGTTTGAGCCGAGATACCAAAGTTTTGATCAACGGGAATCTAAATAGCCGGAAAATGGGACAGCTTTCTCTGAAAACAAGTAGCTCGGAGCACATGGAGATTGCATTGATCGCGCTGGTGTCGATTGTTAGGGGCCTTTTCCGTAGAAAGATCCCTGAAAACGCCAGCGCAGGAACATTAGAGAGTGGATGAGAATGCATCACTTGGCATGTGGCGTTTTTCTGATCCACAGTGCAAGGTATAATAATGCAGTTATTGAACAATCTTTGTTTTGCCTCACACAGGAGAAGGTTAAATGTTGGCGGGTTATAGGAGCTGTTACAGGCCCTCTTCCCCCAGCATTTTGTGGATGCAACCCATGGCAGTGTCTTCGAGTACTGTGGGTCAATTTTTTTCGGAGTATGACATCATCATTACTGCATGTCACTTGAATTATTGCGGTTGCCACTTGGTAACTTCAGTATGGATGTCTTTACCCACAACTGTACAGCGAATGGTAGCAAGATTTTCTGGCGGGAAATGTAATGTACAAACTAAATTTCTTGCAGAGTTATAGCATAGCAATCTTAGATGACTAATTTGTGTGTTTCACTTGTTCAAGTCCTTTATGTGACTCAGAATCTCTTTAGTATCATTCAAAATGAAAAACAGAGATATCCTTTATATACACTAAGCTCATAGGCAGGTGCTGGGATCCTCACATCCATCACAGGAAAAACTTGAAGCGGCTGCTTTCTGGACCGATTGATAATTGGCTGGATCAGGTGTAGAAGAAAGCATCTTCGTGGATGCACACGGCAGGGAATCTACTTAGCATCATGTAATTGGCGGCTATTTTGACTACAGCCTGTGTGATGGAGAAGTGATTGACACATGGTTTTAGTATTTTGCCGTAGAGATGGCACGGAAACTAAACTTATTAAAATGGGTCATAAATTCATTTCTTAATCAATATATGATGGGATGAGTTGTTATATAGATTAGTTATATTTAGTAAATGGGTTTAAACATGATATGGGTATTAAATGGATTATAAATGGGTTTCAAGCTTCTATTGATCAACTTACTTGAAAAACGAAACAAGCCGAAGAGAACTGGCATAATCTAGACATATATGCTATGGATGCATACGTTTTGTGGTGCGAGATATTACTTGGTGCAAATCCATCACCTTTAGAAATTGCGATTTTAGCTCGTGAATTTTTCAAATTCTCATAGGACTAGTCTAAAAACCCCTTATTCACTGACACATTCAGGAAGTTACTGATAAACTTAACAAAAGTTACTTAAAACACATTTGATTAATCATAATCATCTCCTAAAAATTACAATCGGATTCGAAAAATCCCTGATTAAGGAGAGGTTGATAAGTGGACATTCTTTTGCTATGAAACTGCCCACGAACTGCTGTTTTTTCCTTCTATTGGAAACAGACAACTTGCTGTTTGTTCGAGACAAAACCTACGACCAGCATGACCTCAGATTAGATTCTCTCGCCCAACTCCAGCAGCATATTCTAAGAGCCGATTCCCCTCAGCATCCTGGGCTCTACGCCACTTTAACGTTTTCAAAGAACCCCACGATCTCACCCCACCTAAACAATCATTTCCCGAACCTGATCCCCTCAAAGATCGCAAATTTATGGCATTTCATTTATACATCAGATGCTGAAACAGTAGATTTCACTGCTTCTGAATTAAAAAATCAATCTTGGCTTTCCCCATTATTGAATTTTCAACTAAAAGATTGAATCCACTGAACTATTTCCTTTGCCCTATACATCACCTCAACCCACATACATTAATTACAACATTGCCGCCGCCGCTGCAGCCATGCGGCTCGGAGATGTGGGGGTTGTGGCGGCGGCGGCGAAGAACCCGGGATCGAATACCCGGCCAGGAAAAAACTAGACAACAGCAATAACCCCCACTAAGCCTGGAATCACGTACACCTCGTCCTGTGTTGTGTTTCTGACCAACTCCTCATGTTTTTTTCCCTCAAGGTGAGGAGCCCCACAAGACCTCAGCAACAATGGTGGCAGCCTCAGCATCGTTCGCCGACACCTCCCTGACTCTCACCAGTATCTCCTGCTTGAATTCCCTCTTCTCTCTCTGCCTCAGCCCTTCTCCGACCTCGAGCTGAATCGCAAACCTCGCCACGCAGCTCGCAAACGGGTGGCTCTCCAAGAACCTCCTGCTCTTGCTCTTGCTCTTGCCTGCATTGGTCATGCTGTCGGTCTCAACCTCGCTCTGCTCGAACCTTCCCAAATCGATCAAATCGCCGCCCAACTCCAATCTCTGCAACTCCACAAGCTTCTTAACTATTCCTTCTTCGATCATGGCCTCGATCGCCTCCTTCCGCCCAAAGTACCCAATCTCGAGAATGCAGTCCATGGCCACCACCTTGACCTGCAGGTCCTCATGGTTGAGGAAATTTATGATTTTCGGTATTTGGCCATTCGATTGGATCTCGTCGACGAGCGGGGACTTGATCGATCTGATGAGTGAACAGAGCACCTTCAGGGAGTGCGCAGAGGCCATGGTGATCAATGCGCGGATGGTCGCCCCCATGAGCACTTGGCCCACGAAAACGTCCTTGTTGAACCGGATCAGAGCCGCGATCGTGAAACCGACGTGCTCTCTGACCCTTTTCGAGCAATTCTGATTACACAGAGTTGTCTCCAGCGACCCAAAGAGCTTCGACTTCAGCAACAAGTCCTGCAAGAAACATGGCCGTCAACTCCCTTCGGCGCAAGAGAAAAAGACTCGGAATACAATACGAATTGATCGACAAAAATTCGAACCCATTACGCCAAGAACACGGCTGATTCGAAACCAGAAAGATCAGACGAGTTTTGGTAGAAAAAACAATCTGTCGGCGCATTGAACTACTTCGGTAAACTGAAACTGACGCGCGACACGAACTCATGGCACCGTACCTGCAAGTCCCTCTCGAACCCTCGCAACACTCGGGCCTCGAGCTGACTCAGCAGCTTCACCAGCTCCTCCTCGTCCCCGCACCCCTTCTCCCGGAGGCCCGCCACCAGCTTCTCGACGGTCTCGCGGTCAATCCAGGCCTGGATTTCGGACTCGATCGACTCGGCGACGCGGGAGATGGAGTGGGCGGAGACCCGGCGGGCCAGGAACGAGCCGAGGCCGTAGCGGCCGCGGCACTCCTGGAGGGTGGAGACGAGGGACCTGAGGGCGGAGAGGTGGCGGGACAGGGCGGAGAGGTTGGGGTCCCTGGAGAGGAGGCTGTCGGACTCCGTCTCCAGCTCGAGGAGGGCCTTGACGGCGGCGGCGGGGGAGGCGGAGTCGGGCGAGCCGGCCGGGGCGGCGGCGGACTTGGGGTCGAAGTGGAGGTCGTGGGAGGCCTTCCTGAGGGCCTCGAGGACGCTGAGGACGCCCGGCGGCGCCGGATCGTTGGGGTCTTCCATGGCCGTCCGGCGGCGGCGGCGGCGGGGGGAAGGCGCCGGAGAACAAGATTTCGGTGACTGCGAATTGAATACGAGAGAGAGGAAGAGAAAACGTGTGTTCGGACAAGGTGAAGGTGGCGGCGGCGGCGTGGTGTGTTCTTGAAGCGTGAGGAAGTAACGAGGTTAGCGCGGAGGGCGATTTGGTAATTTCGGGCAGGAGACAACCGTGGGGGGCTCAACGACCAGTCAACGGGTGTACGCGCGCGCGCGCAGGGCTTGGCAAATCGCCATGCGCGGACGCAGCCGCTTGTTTTCTCTTATGGTATATTTTATTTTCGGTCCTCTGAGAAGTTGCTGTTGTGTAATTTGGCATTGGATTTTGCGATCGAGCCCCTCGGCAATCGAATCGCGATATGTCGAGGCGCGGCGCGGTGTCGACTGCAAAGAAAGAGGACAGAGGCGAGGGTCGCGCACTCTTTGGCAATCATAGCATGAGGTCCGGTGAAAGTCATCTTGGGGATAGCTGAGAGGTGAGATCACCTTGTAAGTCGAGATTACTGATAATTCCATCCTCATAATTATCTATATTCAACAATTGGTATCTTTTGATGGCATGGGAGCCTTTCGATGTATGTCTAACGGCATATGTACTTCTTTCACATTTATGCGCTTCAGTTTCAACAAGATGGAATGTTTCCATTCTTCTTTGGATAACTGAATGTAAATCAGGCAAAACTAAAAAGGACAGGAGCGTAAATTAGGTGTTTTTACGAATGCCACGTGATTGGCCAGATGAACCCATTCCATTCACATGTTCATATAAAGATTTGTAGGTAGGATGTGACCATTGGGTTTGGGCATTAATGCAAGTGGATAGGAGGGGATACGGATCTTGAATATGACACTATTGTAACGCAGCAAATTTGAGTTGCAAATGAAACTGGGCAAGTTCGACCAAAAAAAAAATTTGGGCAAGATATAAAATAGCCATTTTCCTCCTCCCTTATCTGATTCATTTTCATTGAGAAGTTGTCCAAAAAATCTTAAATCTAAGGCTGAATTGGCAAAAATGCAATAGGTTAATGGGTCAATTGGCAAAATTGAAAAGTTTAGGACTGACTTGGCAAAAGTGCAATAAATTTACGACTTTTTGGACAATTTTTCCTATTACCATTTGATTCTCCTGTTCCCCCCAAAGAATTCAATTGAACAATAAAAGATAAAAACTCACTGATCTTGACCCAAATGAAAGGTCCAAATGTGAACTATAAATAAACTATAAAGGAGAAGGAAAGACAAGTATCCAATTAATCAAATTTTGAGGGCCAAATCATATAGCCCTGAGCCCTCCAAATTCAGGGCAAGTATGATTGCTCTTCATTGGCTCCTGAACAAAAACAAGAATGCTGCTGGTCTACCGAAACCTAATCTTTCCTCGCAGGTTACGTGGTCAAACCCAGACATTCATCTGGAAAATTAGTAAAAGAAGACGAGAGGCGACCGACTGGATGTTGCCTTGCCCAAGAGGATTACGTAAGTCTCACTGGTCAAGCATATTCGAATCTAAAAACTCCGTATGTTCCGATGCGCTGCGTCACCCATGAAACACGTTCGAGTAATCATCGATTATTGCCGATTTCTTTTTGTGTTTTGGTGCTTTGAATAGTGCCTGGCCCTGGCTGAAACAGACGTTTTCCCAAAGAAGGACCCCGGACCCCTACGTGCATGATTGGATTTGAGTACGTAGGCCATGTCGATTGCCTTTTTTTTTTTTTAATTCTCGAGTGACATTGAAGTCCACATAAAACTTTTGTTCTCTCTCTTAGGAAAGAGAGTCTACGTTAGGTCCGGTCCCATCTCTACCGTTGGTTCGATTTTTTCCATAGTTTTGGCGTGTCGTCAATGAACACGAGCTCTTGATCTTCATTTGCTATCGCCTTGAACCGAGAGATATTGTGGATCGGGGTGGTCGAGGCAGTTATTAAAGCATATTTATTTAAGGAATGTTTATGGTTTTCGAAATGTTAATATCACATGGCACGAGGGTAATACGTTTCTAACCGTAAATTTTTTTTTATTTGGTTGCTATTAGTGCTTCAAGGCACTCGCTCGCGGAAATCCTCTTATGAACTATATAGTAAAATGGCAACTAAAAGTTGCACCATACATCTAGCAGAGCAATGATTGCGAGGCTGTCGGACTATTATTTTGGGTTCCTGGAAAGGAGGCTGTCGGACTCCGTCTCGAGCTCGAGGAGGGCTTTGATGGCGGGGGAGCTGGAGTCGGGCGAGTCGGGCTAGGTGGTGGCGGACTTGGGGTTGGAATGAAGGTCGAGGGAGGCCTTCTTGAGGGCCTTGAGGACGCTGAGAATGCCTGGCGTTACGGAATCATTGGGGAAAGTTACCAAAACAGTTCTAAACCTATTGCAATTGTATTAATTCAATCATAAATAATTTTTTTTTACCAACTCAGTCCTAAACATTTTACAATTGTACCAATTCAGTCCATCTGGCCAATTTTGGCTGACCAGCGTTGACATGGACATCGGCCGGCTGGTCAATAATAACATGACAATTTTTAAATTTTTTAAATTTTTTCGAATTTTATTTTATTTTATTTTTTTTTTGCTTTCCTTCTTCCCCTGGCTAGTCAGCGGACTGGCCAAAGGCTAGGGCCAACGAGGTCGACCTCGCTGGCCACTGGTGAGGGTGAGGCTCAACTTGGCCCAAATCTGGCGAGGCTCGACCTCGCCCAACAACGGCAAGGGCGAGTCTCGCATGGCTGGCCGAGCTTGACCTCACCCACGACGATGAGGTCGAGCCTCGCTCGTGACAACCTTGCCCTCGCCAGTGCCAGCGAGGGCGAGCCTCACTAGTGGTCGGCGAGGTCGACCTCGCCGGCCCTAGCCTCTAGCCGGTCACTTGACCAGCCAAAGGAAGAATGTAAGAAAAAAAATGAGAAAGGAAAAAAATAGGGAAAAAAATAAAATAAAAAAAAACATTTTAAAGATTGTCACGTCAGGGCCAGCCGGCTAAAATTGATAGATGGACTGAATTGGCACAATTACAAAAGGTTTAAAAATGAATTGGTAAAAAATATATAAATTTAAGACTGAATTAACATAATTATAATAGGTTAAGGACTGTTACAGTAATATTTCCCAATCATTGGGTTCTTCCATGGTTGTTCGCGGCGCTAGGCTGTAGAAACAAGATTCGGGACTGCGAATTGAAAACGAGAGAGAAAGAGAACGTGTGTTTAGACAAGGTGGTGTGTTCTGGAAACACGAGGAAGAAATGAAATTAATGCGAAGGGTAACTGAGTAAATTTCGTTTAGGATATGAGGGGGGCTCAACGACCAGTCAACGTGCGCGCTCGCGCCCCCCTGCGCAAATCCCCATGCACGGACGCAGCCCCATGTTTTTCACAGTTTATGGTATGTTAATGTTCGGTCCTCTAAAAGTTGTTGTCTAATTTGACCGTCGATTTATTGGATTATGCGATCAAGCCCTTCAGCAATCGAATTATGATATGTCCAGGCACGGCTCGACACCAACTACAAAGTAAGAGGATGGATGCGAGGGTCACACGCTCACTGGCATCAATTGCATGAGTGAGGCGACCCTTACAAGCGATGCAGATGAGGTGAGACGGAACGAGTTTGTGACTTCCCTCTCTCGAAGGCAAGGTATATTGGCCCTCATCGTGGCTAGGGCATGGTTGGCGATCTTAGCACGAGGTCCAATGAGAGTCATCTTGGGAATAGCCGTGAGGTGAGGTGACCTTTCGAAGCTACCGTAAGAGTAAATCGAGATTATTGATAATTACATCCTCATAAAATATTCACATTTGACAATCGGTATCTTACTAATGACACTGGAGCCTTACAAAATATGTCTAATGGCGTATGTTATACTTACTCTTTTTTATTCGTGTGCTTCGGCTTCGACAAGATGGAATGTTTCCATTCTTCTTTGGAAAACCGAATGTAAATTATGAAAAATAAAAACGGATAGGAGCGTAAAATTAGGCGTTTTTACAAATGACACGTGATTGGCAAGTATATAGATTTGTAGACATTGATGTGGCCATTGGGTTTTAGGCATTGATGCAAATGGAGAAGAGAGGATACAGATCTTGAATATGACACTATTGTAGGACTAACAAATTTGAGTTGCAAATGAAATTGGTGAAGAAATGAAATAAGCCATTTTCCTCCTCCCTTATCTCATTCACTACCACTTGATTCTCCTTTTTTCTCCCCAGAGAATTCAATTGCACAATGACAAACAAAAAATTCACTTGATCTTGACCCAAATGAAAGGTTCAAATGTGAACTATAAATAGACTATAAAGGAGAAGAAAAGACACGGATCCAATTGATCAACTTGTGGGCCAAATCATGTAGTCCTCCACATTCAGGGCAAGCATGATTGCCCATCATTGGCCCCAGGACGAAAGAAGATTCCTGCTGGTCTACCCAACCTAATCTTTTATCGCTGGTTCCGTGGTCAACCGAGACGTTCATCCGGGAAATTATTAAAGTAGACGAGAGGCAACCGACGGGATGTTGCTAGGGCAAGAGGATTAGGTAATTTTTTTATCATAAAAAACTTCAAATCGATATATCTAAAATAGATTTATTTGAAATTAATTTTTTAATTATTAAAAATTCAAAATTGATATATTTATGATAAATTTACCTTCTATTAAATTTAATTAATATCACAACAAATCACAAAATAGTACACTTGTGACAGACGGAGGGTAAATCCCAAACAGGTACACCCGTCAACCTTCACATACCGTCAAATTCAGAAATTTGATCGTAAAATTTAACGAAAACGAACAGAGGGTAAAAACGTCACAAGCGTACCAGTCTAGAATTTTTCGTGGTATTAATCCTATTTAAATCTAGCCCGTAAAACACACGTTTGAATAATCATCGATTCCTGTTGATTTTCTTTGTATAGCCATGTCGGATTGCCTTTTTCGAATTTTGGACCGACATTAAAGTCCACATTAACTTTTGTTTTCTCTAGAAAAAACGAAAGTCAATACATGCGATTTGATTTTCCATGGCATGGCGAACATTGTAACTTCAATTGCATGATTAATGAAGCATCATTTTGGGGCAAAGAACAAACAAACAAAAAGTAG